TAGCTTGTACTTCCTTTTGTATATCAAGTAAATCCGAAAATTGGCCTTGGTCTCCAAACTCTTATGTGTCTTTTACTTCATTATCTTTCAAGCCTTGTGTATTGTGCGTTTGCCATTCCTTAAGCACGAATCTGTGCTTATTTTGGGTTAGGACTGAAGCTAGCAGCAGCATAAAGGCTGTCTAGTTGTCCGCACGTAGCTTACTGGAGTTAAGCCCGTGACAAATCTTCTACTACTATCATAATAATATGCATGTCATGTAAAACGGAAGAGGGAGAAAACTAGTGTTCACGTCTGTAGATGGTACAGAGTTAATCATGTGGGTTTTTTGGAGCTCAAAGGAAAAAGCAGTTCATAAACATGGGAATAAACGGTAAAGGGAAGAGCATCATCTCTAATACACCGTTCTCAAGAGTCCAGAAAGAAAGACGAATGATGCAAACAAAAGGAGAAGATAGTCTGATTAGCTAAGACCAGAGAAGAACAAACTAGTTATTCCATATCCCTTTTAAGTTCTGAAGGAAGGACAAGTCTATGCAGAATCCACACTGTACTCTCACCATATTTTTGCGAAAATAAGTACACTGTATAAACGTGTGGGCGTGCATGCGTGAATAACAAGCATTTTAGGGGCGAAGTAATGTTATTCTCCTCTTTGAAAGCTGGTTCTTGAGAACTTCTTTATGGATTAGTGAGTCCAAAGATCCTTCAATTTTTTCCTCTTCAAATATGGGTACTTTATCCCTGCTATAGGCTTGTCTGGTAGGTCCTTCATGAACAGGACTAGCATCCAGTGGTGCCACTTTTGTGTTGCTCACACAATAGTCCAGTCACTTTTTAAAATAAATAAATAAAGACAATACTCCAGTCACTTACTGGAAAAACTTAGGTTTCAAGTCATCAGCCAGACAGCCACCTTGGAGTCACTATGAGAAAAGTGAAACTGACAAGGGAAAATGGGACCACCTTTTCTTTCCTAAGACAGCGAGCAAGCAATCAAATGGTTCAAGAAGCAGACTAGCAGAAGCACTGCTGAATTTACCGGCAAGAAAGAGCACGAAGAAGAGATGTACCTAAAGTGACCCAAGATTCCAGCCACTGCCATGGTCATTCCAGCAAAATATGTAAAGGTATCACCAACGAAAACTGAGGAAGGATACCTGCAATGACAGCGGGGAGAGTAAGTAAAACATATTGCTGAAAGAGAACTCTGAGGTTATTCAAAGATGTACCAGTTGAATGAAAGTAAACCCAAGGAAGTGGCAAGCATTGGCTGAACAAGGTAAATAGAGAAGGCATGGGCTTGTTTGTATTCAGGATCAGCAGATGCCCCAATTTGCATGATGTTGTGTATCAAAATCTGTAATTACACTAGCGTTAGATGACATTCAATCGTCAAACTGATACTTAGAGAACAGTTCTAGCTTACAGCTGCTGCAATAACGACTGTCTGCCCAACTTCAAGGCCATTGATACCAGCGTGGATATTGATAGAATTTGTGCAAAATATAGCCAGTAGCCACATATATAATTTGTAGATCCGTCCTGTTAAACCAAGAGAGAATGAAGCATCGAGTCGAAGTCAACAATTGGAGATGATGAAGATATGAAGTGGTATAAAATTATGTCCATGTTAGCGACGACTTTAAGCATGTTAAATGTGCATTTCAAAACTTTCGAGTACTTCCAGCAAATCTAGCAAACTCCAACTAAAGGAAGCAAATCTAGCAAACTCCAACTAAAGGTTTTTATATAGAAGCATGACGAAATTATAGGCTGCTTACCTAGATCCAAGATCTCTAATCCAACATATGATACAAGGGGCTTTGGTATAATAATAGTTGTATGCCCAGCATATGCCATCAACAACGGAAGGGCTGCAATGGAGGGTAATAGCAGTTTCCTGTTTCAAATATTATATGAACTTCATAAGAATCTCAGCTGACAAGATTTCAAAAGGTCCCAGTTGCATCAGAGAAGCCTTTAGATATGATAGAAATGGATTACACTCTCCAAGGTACATCAAGGACATCATCCACAAACCCAAGCAGCATCATGAAGCAGATTGAAGATAATGCAGCATTGTACTCAACAAGCCACTGCCAAAGTCAAAGTCAAGAGGTATTCAGATCATCTTCAACAGACCTCAAGCAATAAAAAAACCTCCAAAAAACACAAAGCTTGCAACTTTACTTACATTTGAATCAGCTGTGAAGTTGAAAGTTTGAAACAAGATCGCAACGACCAAGAACACACCCCCAACAATAAGACCTAGTGACTCAGGTCTGCATAAAATCAATACGAGTCACTCATAAATTGCTTCAGAGCACCACTGGAAAACTTAATTGAGGTTGATTCTTAACTATAAAAACTTTCTTATTTAACTATGTTGAGAAATCACTCCCCTTGTCCCAGAAAAAGAACAGTCCTACCTGCATTTAGGCCTTCCCGAAACGGTCCCAGAAGACATTCTCATCACTAAAAATGATGTCCGACACTCAATTCAGCAAAAATATCTTTTTTACTCTACTTTGCAAAAAAAAAAGGTTCTAGATGGACACATGCTCGGCAAAAAGCTACTTCCTTCTATTCAAATTGAATGTCTCTTTTCGAATTTAAGCAGATCATACTACATGTTTGAAATTTACATATTATGTAGTACTTCCTCCCTCCCAATTTATGTAATACTCTTTCCTTCTTAGTCTATCCCAAAAAAGAATGTTATCTTTCTATATCTAGAAATGATTTAACTTTACCATTAATGAGATGATTTAGTCATACAAATATCTATAGCTTGTTTTAGACCACAAATTTCAAAAATCTTTCTTTCTCTTAATAAACAAACCAATTCAAACAAGGACTATCAAAATAGAAGTAAGGTATAATAAATTCGCATCAGTACTAAATTCAACTACTGCATTCACAAATTATGCGTGAACTTCAAGTAAATTAAACTTCAATTTCTTTTTCTATGCAAAAAGAAAAACTTACACTTTGATAGAGCCTTGAGGAGTGCCTTTTTTGTTGATATCCAATCCAAACAAACCCCTTCTCAACATATACTTAGACGCAACAGGAATCATAGTTACCGTTCCGAAGAATCCGATCAAACTAATTACCGCATTGATGAGAATCGATCGCCGGAGCTCCGATTCGATCTTATAGTGATAAAATATCAAGTAAAAATACGGGATTAAGAATATTAAAGAGATTTTGAAAATTAACAAAACTTTCGCCGGCGCTATGGGTGACGAGTCATCCGATTTAGGTTTTGGATTGTTTATGGATGATTCCGGCGAATTTACGGCGGTTCCTTTCGCCGGCGCCACCTTTGACGGCCGTTTTTTAGCTGCCATGGCGGAGGCTCTTTCACTGTGTGTGTGTGTGTGTGTATTTTGCTGTCTTTTTGGGTCGTTTTATAATTTGCTTATTTACTTAATTGTTTTTGGTTTAAGATTTTCAGTTGACCAATTGAATTTGTACACGTAGGTTGAACTTGTCATATGTGGGGTCCATATGATTATTTAGACTGATGAAGTAAGTTTAGTTTGCTTCAAAAAGGGAGATCAAGCTTTATTTTCTTTATTATTATCATTATTATTTATTTATTTTGGTATTTTTATTTTTCTTTCTCCCTATTTCTTTCCTATTAAATATTTCTACCTATGTTTATCACAGTAGAACAAAGAGGAATAATATTTGATCCTAACAAATACCAACTTAATAGAAGCATAAACTTGTAAAAATAGCATGGGCTAGCTAATTTTCGGACTAGTCATTCAAAATAGTCAGCATTTGCAAAGTCAAATGTTATGAACTCCCAGCATATTATGCTAGAACTCCAACACGCGGAAAGTTCCAGCATAATATACTGGAGATTGGAGCACATGTGTATGAACTTCCAGCATATTATACTGGAACTTCAGTATATTATGCTGGAGTGTTTTCCGGATTTTGAACAGTATTTTCGTTCAGATTTATCTTTACATGAAAAGTGGCTAAATTTCGATGACTTTGAAACTGTGGCTATTTTTGAATGATCACTTGTAAATTTGGTTATTTTTGAATTTCACTGTCGTAATTTTGTCAAACAAGTATTGGACAGAAGACTACCACCAAGAAGTGTGGTAAAATGATGTACTATACTGTCGGTATTTATTTTGTTTTGAAATTTTAAACTAAATTTTTTAACTTCACGACAACTCGGAAAATTTTTATCCTGAAAAATTGATCTGGAAAACTGAAATTCAGGACACATTGGCTAATTTCTAAATAATAGCCCTGTAAAGTAGCTACCTGGTGTCATTTCTACTCGGATTTGAATCCTGAGGGTAAAGTCCTCTTCTCAAGTCCTCTTTGGTAGGGAGCACTAATGGACTTTTTACGATGCAATCCAAATTAGTTAGAGTTAGATCAGATAAAATTTGAGTTAACCAGACGAATGAATTCCGAGCACCAAATGAAATAAGGAGCCTATAACCAACATAGTATGCTTCGTACGATGGAAATCTGAATTAGTCGGGTCAACGAGTTCTGTGCATCAAATGGTTAAACTAAAAAGAAGAGATTACACGAAAGTAGAAGGTTTGGAAAGAAAAAGGAAGAAAATATCAAGCCAATAATGGGCACGCTACCAAACAAGCAGAGCCTAGTCCTTTATAAATTTCCATACTCAAGCTATTATCATCTAACTGTATTATTTTTAGGTAAAATGTTCTCTTGGTCACTTAAACTTACACCCGATTGTCAATCTGATAAAGGAACTTACAACTTTTTCATTTCTATATGGTGTTCGGTAGTCGCATTGTGACCTGACTATCGTAGTTTTTTACATTGTACTAGTCTTTTTTTTTTTTTGATAATCGTGATATGATATCCGAACCAACTTGTGTACACCTTAACTAATTTCATAGTTACCTTCTAGCAACACAAATACTGAATAACTCGGTTCACCAATAATGTCCCATAGTGTGACGGGCGGTGTGTACAAGGCCCGGGAACGAATTCACCGTCGTATGGCTGACCGGCGATTACTAGCGATTCCGGCTTCATGCAGGCGAGTTGCAGCTTGCAATCCGAACTGAGGACGGGTTTTTGGGGTTAGTTCACCCTCGCGGGATCGCGACCCTTTGTCCCGGCCATTGTAGCACGTGTGTCGCCCAGGGCATAAGGGGCATGATGACTTGACGTCATCCTCACCTTCCTCCGGCTTATCACCGGCAGTCTGTTCAGGGTTCCAAACTCAACGATGGCAACTAAACACGAGGGTTGCGCTCGTTGCGGGACTTAACCCAACATCTTACGGCACGAGCTGACGACAGCCATGCACCACCTGGAAGNTACGTGTATAGGATGTACTCAATGTGTCCGAGCCTGCCCCACCGATGTATTAGAAATGATACCTTGGGACGGTTGTAAGGCTAAACAAATTGCTTCTGCTCCACGAACAGAGGACTGTGTTGGTTGTAAGAGATGTGAATCCGCCTGTCCAACAGATTTCTTGAGTGTCCGAGTTTATTTATGGCATGAAACAACTCGCAGTATGGGTCTAGCGTATTGATACGTTCGAGAAAACTTTACTTGAATCCATTTAATTTTTTTTACCGATAAACCTGTGCTCGAAAATCACAATATTTTGAGCACGGGTTTTTATGGTCCAAGTGTATCTTGTCTTTACTACGAATTATTTTCCTTGGTTAACAATAATTGTAGTTTTTCCAATATTTGCGGGTTCCTTAATTTTCTTTCTTCCCCATAAAGGAAATAGGGTAATTAGGTGGTATACGATATGTATATGTATTTTAGAACTCCTTCTAACGACTTATGCATTTTGTTATCATTTCCAATCGGATGATCCATTAATCCAACTAGTGGAGAAAAAAAAAGGTCCTGGGATGATACGATGATAATACTAACATTTTGGTTCACGTTAAACAATCAAAAAAGATGACAAACACTTAATATTATGTCACAATTTTAGTTTCTCCACAAATATACTTAAGATTCTGCTAGGAACAGTGTTTTGATTGTATTATCATTAACCATTGCTACCCAATTAAGCTGGCCGTTTATCTTCTTTTATTTTGGAGCAAAAAAAGATAGTATAACAAAGAAATAATGTAATATAAGTTCTCTCGCCAGCGCAAGTACAATTGTACAAGTAACTCTACCGACCAACGCTTTTCGGTATCTTATGGTTAAACCAAAAAAAAAAGGGTAGAACAACAAACAAAAGATGCTGATATTTTTAATTTTCTACTCTCAGCTACTGATCCTATACTGAATATCTGCTGCTAATACTTGAAGGCATTTAAGCAAGCAATAACAAAAAATAATCAAAACAAAATGGTGCAATTATAGAATTTATGCCAACAGCCTCGTGATTTATAAGTCGCATTTACCAATTGCGATTGACAAGTCGTAGTTACAATTGCGATTTATAAGTCGCAGTTACAATTGCGATTTATAAGTTGCAGTTACAATTGCGATTTATAAGTCGCAGTTACAATTGCGATTTATAAGTTGCAGTTACAATTGCGATTTATAAGTCGCAATTACAAAATTCTAAATCATTTATCAATTGCGATTTATAAGTTGCATTTACTAATTGCACTCGCGTTTGTCAAAAATCTTCCCATTATAAATAAGAATGAGAGTCTTTCAACTAGGTGTGTCGATTTATTGCAATTTGTAAGTCGCATTTTCGGTTTGCAATTTATAAGTCGCATTTACCAATTGCGGGTTATAAGTCAATTTAAAAGTCGCATTTACCAATTGCGGGTTATAAGTCGTATTTACATATTACGATTGAAAATTCATAAGTCTCATTTATAGATAGAATTTGACCACATTGCTGTCCACCAATTCATAGGCTACTAAGCCACGCTTTTGGATTTGTAAGCAATGAAGTTTTACTTTTATAGGAAATGTAAAATTGTAATAATGGTATAGTCGGCAATAAATAGCGCTAGAAATTATATTTGGATATGAAATGTTTAATGTTCCATTCTGCTTCTTCTAGCTTCCTCCTATTTCAACACAACTTCTATTTTGACAATATCCATCTTTAATTTGTTGTGTAAAATACTGCCAATGATTGTAACTTTTGGTTTAAGTACGCTATGGATGCGGTAGAATGGTTAGAGTTTCTCTGCCCTTAACCAAAAGCCTCGGGTTTGAGTCCTAGAGATGGAACCCTCTTTGGTACGGAACACTAAAATCCCCTAAAGTGGGCTTTCTAGAGAGCGAATCCAAGTTACTCAGGCCAGTGGTTCCTTGCACCGGATGAAACATGATGCGATAAACCAACATAGTAGGCTTTCTACGATGCAAATCTGAATTAGTCGGGTTAACCTATTCCAGGTACAATATGGTTAAACCAAAAAAAAAGGGTTGGACATGATTACATGACACAATATGGTCATCCAACATTTTTACTCAGTGCCCCTCCAGGATCTTGTATGCCACTTCAAAAATCAGGATTTACCATTTGTATGTCAAATCCTTAACTGCAAAATATCTACTCAACATAGCCTCTTGAGAATATTCTCGTCGCGTTTTTTGTTATGGTCCCATCTTCAGAAAAACATCAAGATGTTGGAATCAGCAAAAACGATGGTCGGAACCTACAGCTTCAGGATAAGGCCAATGGGACTGTGATCACTGCCATCTACATCTGGCAGAATGTAGGAGTCGTGCACGTTGTCAGCAATGCGTTCTGAGACAAGGAAGTAGTCGAGTCGCCATCCTGAAATTTTGTACCCCAGATGGAAAAAAGATGCAAAAAAGGTCATAAAAAAAAGATCATAGAGAGTAAATCATACACCAAACAACCTGAAACGACACCCTTAATTGGAAATGATATTGAACAAAAATGTGATGTTGGAATTATCTTGTCAAGGAGTGACAAATACGGAAGTCCACCATGTAGCAAGAGATTGGAGGAATAGAATGTCCGACGAGTAGTTTAAGCAGATCGATATGTAAAAAGCAAAAATACAACTATTATCACGACCCAAATACCTAGTCAAGTGCTCTTCTAAATTGCAGATTGATGTAAGGGGTTCAAACTCCTCTTACCTAGGTGGGAAAGAGTATAACTTTCACAATCACGCTATCAAATGAGCAATGTTCTCATTTCACTAGACAGTAAAACACAAAATGAGATACGCAAAAATATCTAATTTTAGGGGCTATGGAGAAGAGTATATTGAGCAAAAACTGAGGTATATTTCTGGTTTCTTAATTTGTTATAATAGGAACGGCCCAAGGAAGCAGAGGACCAAGTTACATAGCACCATAATAGAATAAATGTTCAAATACCTTTATTAGTTTTACGTCCACCATGGCGGTAACCCCAGTAAGTATAACCAACGACACCAGGATGCTGCTTCCTGAATGTAT